TTGTAACTTTCCATAGAGATCAAGTACAAACATGAAATTTGCACTATTTATAGAAGATGTTCGAGTCGTTAAGTTGTAAAAATTTCATTAAATTCACGAAAAATCTCAGCGTTTGCTAACCAAGTGAATTACGGTTTAAAATGACCAATTTTACACACTAAACTAGTTTTAGTACGCCCAGAAATATTTTGCGGGTGCACATTTAGTCAGTGCACGTCCTGTTTAAAGAGGACATTGATGTCTCATGAAATTTTCTAGCAGCTGCTAACCTTCTAAAGCAATAAAGCTTATCAAATGAGAGCAAAAATAATCGGGCCAAGCACGCAATGACCAATCGCAATTAATCAATATATGAAAATAGTTAAATTCACCGGGTGTATATGTTGAGGACGTGCCGGGACTTGGGAAGCTGCGCGTTCCGCCGTGGTTCGAAAATAAAGGAACTCTGACAAGTGTAAGGAATTCGGCGAGAAATCAAAAGGAATGGTAAAATCCGTCGAAAACGTCAATCATCCGGTTCGACGATAAAATTCGCAAACTTTACACGGAAAAGGGATGTGAGTGGAATAATCTCGGCGTATTGAATTATTCCGCGGAAAGGCTGCTTTGCGGAATTGGGTCGTTTTAGCGTTTAACCGCTAAAGTGCCTGCTTCATCAATAACGGCATGTTCCAAAATAATCTTATTTGTATGACCGATTCATCAATTTCTTAACGATTCTATCATTCACATTCAAATATGTCGCCTGAGGTTCTGCAAACGTTTCATTAGAAAGTATTTTTTTCATTAAAGCATTTTTAATTGCTATCGTTACGATCGAAGTCTTCGACCTTTATTATATTTAGTTTTCAGTAAAAAACATCAAACCAACACTTGCAAACGTTCGAAATTAAACTCGTATAAATTAATTCATACTAAAGTGCAATTTGCCAATTTTTTAATCTTTCATCATTTTTTCTTGATTTTCATGCGGTTTTGGAACCAAATTAACAAACTACCCCGCTAATTAATAATCCGTATTTCCTTAGGTATATTTTTAGATCCTTTTCCTTGGTGGATGCTTGATAGTCTGAACAGTCGACACCGCATAAAATATTGCGCTTTTTTTAAACTTTATCGATTTTTTGTCAGATTAAAGTAGATTAATATTCAAACTGTTTCCAGTGATTAACTTAAACACCAAGTATGAAAATCGTAGGTTCTAGCTGCTTCTTCGGCAGGTTTGAGGCGATCATGCAGTTTCCATAAATTAAAAATGTTCGTAATTTGAGTAAAATTTTTCACTTCAAATTTTTTTGCGAAAAACTCCTCAAAAATTGCCAGCAATTATCGTTGCTGGACACATCGAAAGTCGAGACTAAAAGTGTGAAAATGTGGCCACAAACGCAAATTGAAGTCAGAAAATAAAATAAATGTGTGTCATACCCTGTGGAGTTATGAGTAGTAATTGAAAACACAAGTTTGTCATTGACGAAAACAATCTGTAAATCTAGAAAAATGGTATTTTGCAAACGAAATTAATCTGCACGTTTTCCGAAGTTCAACCGTTAAAAGCTGCTAAAAATGGAAATTGTGCGATATGTTTCTACGCAGTAATATTTATAAGGAAACTAGATCTTCTAGAAGATTATGTGCATTTGTTGCGCCAAAAGAACACAGTGAGAGGCAATTGAATGTTGTAGTTTGTTCATTCATGCATGGAGACCTGAGGGTGGCTTCAATGCAGCCGAAACGTTGGCCTACAAAATTTTGGTTTTTTATGCAGCTGAGACTGTTATGAAGAACGGCGAAGGCAAAGCAGGTATTCAAAAGTGTAAAAATGAAAGCGCAAAAGCCACTGATTGCAATATACTCGACCGCAGAACATTTTTCTTCGGTTGAAAACTAGCTCAATTAAAATCTTGAAGCGTATAGC